TACCACTTGAGCCACAGCGCCACTTCCGGCTTTTTTCTTTTTGCTTATGTGGTGCTGAGGAATCGAACCCAGGGCCTTGAGCATGCAAGGCAATCGCTCTACCACTGAGCTACCTTCCCAGCCCCTAACACAGTTTTCTGACTGTACTGGCTCCAAACCTCAATCTTCAGATCTCAGCCTCCTGAGTCGCTAGGATTACAGGCACGCACTACCAGTCCCCTGATGGAATTCTGTTTAAAAATCTTAGAAAAGTCTATGCAAAATTCTCTGGCATTACAGTCTTTGTTGAAACGAATTCTTGGATAACTTAAAATTTTTCTTTTGTTATTGGTCTAGTCGGTTTCTCATTGGTTGATTAGTTGGTTGGTTGGCTGGTTAGTTTTATTTTATTTTGAGACAGAGCCTCATTGTGTTTCCCAGACTGGCTTCTAACTAGCCTCAAGCGATCTCAGCCTTGCAAGTAGCTATAATTACAGGTGCCTCCCATCATACCCAACTTTATTCTTAAATCAACCGTATTAACTTCTGGGGTTGTTTCCTGCTGGAAAGTTGCCTGTCTCATGGAGTATGTATTAAAGTAAGGGTTGGTAGTTACCAAAAAAAAAAACCTTTTGTAACTAAAATTTTCACATCTATCAAAACTACACATTTTTTATTACCTGTGCTATTTTATTTTTGTTGGTTACACCAGATTTTTCCACTTAATAGTATCATTTCTCTTCTTCCTTTTTGTTGAGAAAGGTGAAGTTGAAAAACAAGACTGGGAGTGTGGCTCAGTGGTAGAGTGCTTGCTTAGCATGTATGAAGCCCTGGGTTCCATTCCTAAGTACCACATAAACAGAAAAGGGCAGAAGTGGTGCTGTAGCCCAAATGGTAGAGTGCTAGCTAGCCTTTAGCACAAAGGAGCTCAGGGACAGTGCCCAGTTCCGGAGTTCAAATCCCAGGACTGGCAAAAAAAAAAGTAAAGAAAAACACAAAGATGGGAAAGACTAGGGAAGAAAGAGCTCTGGTGGGGAAAGATTCGACCAGTTCACAGTTGAAATTTCATCACCTGGGTGGAGATGTTGAGTTCGCAGTTTGCTGTATGAGTCTGAAGCCTGGGAGATATAAAAGCTAGAGGTATAACATTGTTATATTGCTTATAATAATGCTATATTGTTGTATTGGCTTGAGATTACAATCGAGCCAAGAGAAAAGGTAAGATAAACAGAGGAGTGACTTCAGAGAAGGAAAAGCCAAAGGGCTAAACCCTGGGACCAACCAACATGTACAGGTCAAGAAAATTCCCTTCTAGGTGGACACTGGTGGCTTGTCCCAGAAATCCTAGCTACTCAGGAGACTGAGATCTGAGGATCAAGGTTCAAATCCAGCCTAGCAGGAAGGTCCTTGTGACTTTTTTTTTTTTGTCGGTTGTGGAGCTTGAACTCTGGGCTTGGGTGCTATCCCTGTGCTCTTCAGCTCAAGGCGAGCGCTCTACCACTTGAGCTATAGCGCCACTTCCGGTTTTCTAGTGGTTTATTGGAGATAAGAGTCTTATGGACTTTCCTGCCCAGGCTGGCTTTGAACCCTGATTCTCAGGTCTCAGCCTCCTGAGTAGCTAGGATTACAGGCATGAGCCACCGCATCTGGCTTCCTTGTGACTCTTATCTCCAATTTACCAGCATAAAAGCCAAAAACTCAAGTGATAGAGAACTAGCCTTAAGCAAAAAAAAAAAGGTAAGCAAGAATGTGAGGCCCAAGGCCTGGTGCTGGTGGCTCATGCCTGCAATCCTAGCTACTCAGGAGGCAGAGATCTGAGGATCAGGGTTCAAAGCCAACCTGGGCAGGAAAGTCCGTGCAACTCTTATCTCCAATAAACCACCAGAAAACTGGAAAGTGGCGCTGTGGCTCAAGTGGTAGAGCGCTCGCCTTGAGCTGAAGAGCTGAGGGACAGCGCCCAGGCCCAGAGTTCAAGCCCTACGACTGATGAAAAAAAAAAAAAAAAGAATGTGAGGCCCAGTACTGGCACCAAAATATAATAACAATAACCAAAAAGAAATGACATTGCCCTTTTGATGAAGATAGTGCACACGCACTTTAGTTCAGCCTTCTGCCTGTGTCCACGTCCCAGCATCTCTCCTCCTCATCCATGCTTCTTCATCACCCTTCTAGCCCCTCAGTCACTTCTAGTGTTTCCTTTTGGCCCACATGCCTGGGAGTTACCTCTCATTCCCACCCAGCAGATCCCCTCACCCTCCCATCTTCCCTAGCTCCACAGTCCAGCCCAGGATTAGGAATCCTTCAGCCCCCTAGGTAGCTAGGGCTCCCCGCTCTTCCTGCCCATCTGAAATATGATCCACTTCTGAGTGGTAGGAATTAAGCTCTGGGCCACGTTCCAGGTGAAGGCCTCCAAGTCTCTGCCTGGCAGTCACCAAAACCTAGAGGAAATGAGCAGATGAAATACACGCTACTCAGACTATGAAGGATTTCTTCTTGCTAGGCTACCAGGTTGCTCTGCTAACGTCATCTGCTTGCCTTCCCCACAAGTGCAGCCCCAGACCCACTCACCCAGAAGCCAGGAAACAGGGAGAAAGAGCAGCGGCAGGTACATTTTCTCTTCACGTAGCTCCCCTTCCCCTTGGAAAGAACCTCACAGCAAGAAGAAACTATGGGCTCCACTCCATTTCCCAGTCCTCTGCCTTCGCTCACTCTTACTCTGCTAACTTCCTCCTCCAGCCACTTCCGACTGGTGAATAAAACCAAAAGAGGAAGAAAGTGGAATGGGTGAAATTTCAAAGCAGTGAGCAATGCAAGAGCTAGGAATGATCATGAAAACCTTTTGAGAAATATCAAAAGGAGAACTGTATCTCCTCTCTATCTTGTGAACAAACCAGTGGGTCTGCTCGGCCCTTATCCCAGTTCCCTCCATCCCCAGTGGGGAGGCTGGGATGTGACAACCCAGCAGACCTTGGAGACCTAAGGCTGATTAAAAGAACATTCTAGATCTTGGAGTTCAAGTATGGCCAAACTGTCAGGAACCCAGAAGGCAGATGTTCAACAGGATTGAGGGGGATTGTGGTCAAAGTCAGAAGCCAGAGGACAGATTCTAGACCAGAGATGTCAAAACCCAGAGAACAACTTAGTATGGTGGACCTCTCCTGTAATCCCAGCATTTAGTAGGATAGAGAGTCTGGACAGAGGGGATGAACAGGACATCGATACAGAGTCCTGGTCAGGAGCCAGATTCTCTGATCTGAGCCCTCCCCGATACATCCACCCAGGAGGAGGATTCTCCTTTAAACCAAGCACACAGATTCAGCTGAGTGTCTCTAATGGTCACAAGATGGCCTCTTAAATAAAGATGTTGGTATACTATGAGCAAGGTGGTATTTGCAGGCTCTTGGTCTTCAAAGATCCACTGAAGGCACTTGTTTTGGCCATTGGCTTCTGTCTGACTCGTCACCTTCCCAGCTCCCACATCCCACTGATAGAAGGGTTAAACAGATCATCCAAGAAGCCCTCTACCCTCAAGCACCTGAGTTTACAAGTTCCTGTGTGTGTGCGTGCGCGCACGCGTGCACATGTGTATACATGTGTGGTGTGTGTTCTTGTTTATGGAAGAAGTTATGTGTACATGTGTGCTCCATGTGTGCGTGTTAGTGAATGGTGTGTGTGTGTGTGTGTGTGTGTGTAAACGTATCCATTGGCTTATCCAGGTTATAAGGACAAACACTTGCTTGAGTTACTTTTTTTTTGATGGTCCTTTTTTTTTGATGGTCCTAGCACTAAAACTCCAGGCCTGGGCATTGTGTCTGAGCTTCTTTTGCTCAAGGCTAGTGCTCTACCACTTGAGCCACAGCTCCACTTCCAGCTTTTTTGGTAGTTTAGTGGAGATAAGAGTCTCACAGAGGTCAGGCGCTGGTGGCTCATGCCTGTAATCCTAGCTCCTCAGGAGGCTGAGATCTGAGGATTGTGGTTCAAAGCCAGCCCAGGCAGGAAAGTCCAGGAGACTCTTGTCTCCAATTAACCACCAAAAAAACAGAAGTGGCACTGGGGCTCAAGTGGTAGAGAGCTCGCCTTGAGCAGAAGAGCTGAGGGACGGTGCCCAAGCCCAGAGTTCAAGCCCCACCACCACCACCAACAACAACAACAAAAGAGAGGCTCACAGACTTTCCTGCCCAGGCTGGCTTAGAACCATGATCCTCAGGTTCAAGAGCCACCGGCTCCTGGCTTCCAGCTACTTCTCTTGGCCCTTGTGCACTTGCAAACAGATTGCTTCAAAACTCAAGGATCCTGAAATGGTCATGGGTGGAGGCACCCCATGTTGAAAAGTGTCTCCCCACTCTGCCCCCAAAGTCCCATGGGAAGTGAGTTGCACAGCCCACATGAGAAGTATGAGAAGCAAAGTCTGAACCAGGTAGACAAGAAGGAAACCACAGAAGGGCAGAGACAGGAAGTGGCTGTAGCCACACCTCCCTGGATCACTGCGCTCTTCGTGGCCATACCGGTGGGGCTTTGATGACTTTCCCTTAAGATGGAGCTGAAACAACACACTCCTCACCTAGCAGGACTCTTTCCATGGCCCTGGACCCAAGTTTATCGTCTTAAATGGAGGCTCTTTTTTCCTCAAAGGATCCCCAGAATTACATAAACTTCAGTCCTGACGTAGACGGATGGATGGACCTTCCCTTCCCTCTCCTGATGTACACTTGATCATTCAGGGGGGTTCTTCTCTCTAGAACCTTTGCAGACTCAGGACCCTCTTTGCCCACTGGAGTTCAGGAGAAGGGGGAGAGGTGCTAGACCCCAGACCTAGCCTGGAACCCCCACACTTCCTCCTGATTCCTATATCTTTATCTCTGCCAGGGGGACAGACAGCTGACAGACCAGCAGCTGACAGACACACGTGGAGCAGAGCCAAAGCTGCCCCAGCCACCAGCCAGCAGATCCCAAGGAAAGGATTAAAGGGGAATAAATTCAAACCTATCCTATCCTTTAGGACATGCATGAACTCCCTCCTAGTCTTCTGGGATATTCTCTCTAGGAAGCACTTTAGATTTGAGATGCAAATTAATAAAGCCATTGTTCATTTAAAAAACAAATAGGGCTCTATACTCCAGGAGGGAATGAAAGCCACATGGAATTTCGTTCTGTTCTTCAAGTACACACCTCTCGAGGGTCAGGAGCCTTTTTCCTTTCCCTCAAACGGGCTTGTCTGAAATGTTGACCTGTCCAAGAAAGGTCTGCCTTGTTCTAGAGTCATATGAACTATTTCCGGGGTTCACACCAGGAGTCCTGATTTTGCTTGATTCCATGGTTCAGTGTTCATGGATGAGGGCATACAGCTCTATATACATTCACTTAGTTCCTCCAAGGAGCAGATGCCAAAAGGGAATTAAATGTACAGGAGTTTCTATTAGAAAAATACCCATGAAAGAAATGGGGATTGGGCCAGGCACCGGGGGCTCACACCTGTAATGCTAACTACTCAGGAGGCTGAGATTTGAGGATCACGGTTCAAAGCCAGCCCAGGCAGGAAAGTCCATGAGACTCTTATCTCGAACGAACCACCAGAAAACCAGAAGTGGTGCTGTGGCTCAAGTGGTAAAGTGCTCACCCTGAGCTGAAGAGCTCAAGGACAGAACCCAAGCCTAGAGTTCAAGCCCCATGATGGAAAAATAAAAGCTGGAGGTGGAGCTGTGGCTCAAGTGGAAAAGCACCAATCTTGAGCTAAAAAGCTAAGGGACAGTGCTTAAGACCAAAACAAAAAAAATGGAAGATAACAATGGAGACCCCAGGTTACTTCTGCCCCTGTAGTTGGAAGTCCACCAGAGATATCTTCATGGTCACTGCAGACATTTGTTAACTAAGATTGGAGTGAGAGTTTCTCTAGGACTTACAGCCTTTTTTTTTCCAGCAAGTTCAATAGAAAATCAAGTGTGGGGCTAGGAATTAGAGTGCTTGCCTAGCATGCATGAAGCCCTGGGTTCGATTCCTCAGTAACACATAAACAGAAAAAGCTCAAAGTGGCTCTGTGGCTCAAGTGGTAGGGTTGCTAGCCTTGAGCAAAAGAAGTTCTGGGACAGTTCCAAGGCCCTGAGTTTAAGCCCCAGGACTGAGAGAAAGAAAGAAAGAAAGAAAGAAAGAAAGAAAGAAAGAAAGAAAGAAAGAAAGAAAGAAAGAAAGAAAGAAAGAAAGAAAGAAAGAGAAAGAGAAAGAAAGAGAGAGAGAAAGAAAGAGAGAGAGAGGAAGGAAGGAAGGAAATCAAGTGTGTGTGTGTGTGTGTGTGTGTGTGTGTGTGTTCAGAAAGAGAGGCCTGAGTGGAACACAGCCCCACCCCTCTCTCTCTCCTTGCTCCCTTTCAGACCATCCTGGTTGGCGACAGTGGTGTGGGGAAGACATCTCTGCTGGTTCAGTTTGACCAGGGCAAGTTCATCCCAGGCTCCTTCTCAGCCACTGTGGGCATCGGATTCACAGTAAGCATTTGCTGGCACGCCAGCTGTGGGCGGGGCTCTGGGAATAACAGGCAAATGGCTGGAAAGAGGTGGGGTGCTCATGTGGGACCATGAGAGGAAGAGGAACAAGAAGTCGGTTTCTTCTGGGTGCTGGTGGCTCATGCCAGCTACTCAGAAGGCTGAGACCTGAGGATCAAGGCTCCAAGTCAGCCCTGCAGGAAAGTCTCTGAGATTTTTTTTTTTTTTTTTGGGTCTGGTCGTGGGGCCTGAACTCTGGGCCTGGACGCTGTCCCTCAGCTCTTCAGCTCAAGGCTAGCGCCCTACCACTTGAGCCACAGCGCCACTTCC